TAAATAAAATGTAAAATTATATTTAAATCATTTTTTTTTAAATATTTATGTCACATGATAGAAAAACCCCTAATCAATCCAGACAATCATGAATCTAAAAACAAGTCACAGCTCACAAGGCCAAGGCAACCGATGCAGCAGTTTAAGCAAAACTAATTTCAGCAATTGAAACTTGAAATAAATCAATTCAGTAACGGCACAAACAATATCTCCCTTTGTCCCAGCTTTAAGACAAACCAATCCCTTCTTGGTCCATCCAAAAATTCAGTACCGTGGTATTGGTGCATGCTAGTTAGTCCTCACTAGCACAATGAAGCAGTAAAAAGGATCGGATGACTTCAAAACAATAGTGATTTTATTTTCAACAGCAGCATTCAAGCCTCTTAATTCAACAACACAAAACAGTATCAACAATTTTTTAATGTTCTATCCACTATGTAATGGCAACTAAACAAAATGACAGGATGTGTGTCTCCCAATTAAGTCCTAATGCAAGCCTGAAGATGCTTAAGTCTCCTGATTTGAACCTCTATCTTGGCTTGGTCACAGCAACCATCCCATTCTGATACAAGAAGGACAAAAAAAAAATAATACTGGGTGATAATTTAATTTGTCCAAGGTACCTCTGATTTAAGCAGGGAAGCATTAGATAAGTGCAAAAAATAATGGAGCATAAAAGTTTAATTATGTACATATGAATCCATATGAAGGATTGAAGAAATATTGTAATTATGTGGCATATATCAAGATGGAATCATTGGAAAAGAAAAACATGCAAATTATGAACAAAAAATGAACAAGAACAGCAAGTACCATGTGAAAGTTCGATTGAGGACGCTTCCTTGTAGACTTGCAGTTACCTTCCACTTTCCTTCTCTGACATTTCCAAGGAGATTGAACATTTTCTCTGTTGTACATTTGTTTTTGAGTAACAGGGGTCCAAACTCCATGGATTCTTGTGAATCTCATCATTCGTACTCCATAATACCATTTGACCTACAAAACGGAACTATATACCTCGTTTTCAAAAAACAAAAATCATAATTGATCCCTAGAGAGATCATTTCTAGAGCTACTATATATATGTTGATAATCACCTTCTATAGCAATTCAACACCTTGGCCATTGAAGAGATGCTGCTAATGAGGCT